TGTTATCCGCCCTGAGCCTTCGGGGTAGGGCGGGATATAAATCCAAATATAAATAAATAAAAAATAAATAAAACAAGCTGTTATTACAGTTTAACTGGAGATGCCGGGTGCACCTCGACCGTTCTGAATGCAAAACATGTATTCTTCCCACTTAGCTCAGAGAGGCTCAGTCGTAGAGCATCTGCTCGGCATGCAGAAGGTTCCAAGTTCAATCTCCGGCATCTTCAGTTATCAAATTATGTGAAAGACCTCTAGCTGAGACTCTGGAGAGCGGCTGCCAGTCTGAGTAGACAATTCTGACCTTGATGGACCCAGGGTCTGACTCAGTAGAAGGCAGCGATTAGGGAGAGACCGTAGCTCAGTGGCAGAAGATTAAGAAGGTCCCAGGTTCAACCCCCAGAGTCACTAGTTAAAAGGATCAGGTGGGAGATGATGTGGAAAGACCTTCACTGGAGACCCTGGAGAGTTGCTGCCAGCCAAAGCTGACAAGGTCCACGCTGGTCAACCCAAAGGTCAGACGCCACAGAAGGCAGCTATGTGCGTTAGCGTGTCGAAACTGGACTTTCTTGAAGAACGTTCTCTCCGTTACAGCGAGCTGTGTTTGGAAAGCAAGTTCAGGTCACCACAACACCCAGAAACAAACTCAAATGACCGGGCTTTTCCGAGGATTACCTGCTTCAATGACCTAACGGTGTGGGCGGTCTCGGCCCTTTGCTACAACCTATCAAGTTCACAAGCAGATCGAAGAAAGGGGGGAAAAACACGAAAAAAAGCTTTGTCAACACAGATCCTCCCTTCCTCTCACTCCCCGCCACTGTTTATGTCCGGAAACCAAAACTGGGTTTTATTGAACGTTCCCGAAAGCCGGTGGACAAATCCACCCCCGCCTCCCCACACACCTCAAACACGACTTATCTCTCTGTTACATAAGCCACGCATTATGTAATTATGGGAATAACCACCATCTCTGCTGTCTGGAGTTCTGATACGAAAATGACATAACCGTTTCGGGAGGGGAAATAAAGAAAAAGACAGCCATTTCCAAACAAAGGTGGTTGGAAGTTTGATTCTTGAGGTTTTCTGGGCCTCCAAAATGGGGCCACGACTCTGCGGTCCAACTCAGGGCTTTCCTACTTCAGATTAGGTTAGTGAAAACGAGTGGAGCTATTAATTAATATAACATGGAAAAACTAGTGAACATCATTCATTTTGCTGCTGGCCATCTGGTTTAGAGCGTTCAAGGAGGCTGGAGGAAGCAGAGTCGAGAGGGCACAAAACTGATATCGGCACTTTCCAACCAGCAAGGTCAAACGAGTCTTGCAACCAAAGAGGTTCTAGAGAAAAATCAGCAGGCACCAGGAGACAGGGAACTCGCGCTGTAATTCCCCCCAACGATCGAATAATCAAAGCGAAGCTGACCTTGCAAAAGAAAGTGCACATGAATTTCCCAAAGCGATGAAAGAAAAAGTAAGAACTGAAAAGCCCCCATTTACGTGTTACAATAATCAAAATGATGTGAAATGATGACCGGCATAAACGCAAATGAAGCAAAAGCTAACGTAAAAATTAAGAATGAAAATAAAAACCTGCACATTCTTAATTGTATACTTGCCCTCAAAGACCCGTCTCCAGCAGTCTGACATAGTGGTTAGAGTGTTGCGCTGAGAGACCTACATTCAAATCCTCCACTCTGCCACAAAGCTCAAGCTGCTCCCTTCTTTCTCCATCTAGCCTACCTCGCAGGACTGTCATGAAGATCAAACGGCACAGGGGGATAACAGGAATCTGGATAGAACGCGCAGCAGATAACAATCAATTGTCCCGCCTCGGCCAGCTGTGAGCCACAGTGGAACTAAAGCTCGGGGAGTGCTGACAGAGCTACCCACAGACCGACTCCGGTGCGGTTACCTTGGCTGCACTGAGAACACCTAAGGACACATTACCATGATGTACAGTGCATCATTCATGCAGGATTACTCGCTAGCAAACGGGGGAGGGATAAAAAAGGGTTATCTTGTCACATCGGAGATAAGGGAGCTGAAGCAACCGGTATGCTTAAGTGCTCCACATAATCCTCATGGCTTCGGCAAATGGCAAATACTGTAACTCCTCTACGATATGCAGGGGAGAGGCCTTATTCTCTTCCTCGCCTCTCATGCTTTACAGGAGAAGGATGACCATTAACACCTTCCACCCCAACCATACAAGGGGTGAAATTATTTAATTGTTCCATTTGTACCCCAAATGTCTAATAAATAGATAAATAAAAATAAAACACAGACTCCTCCTCAGGTGTATATCCCGTGAGACTTATTTCTAGCAAAGTGGTTTAAAATTGAAAATCGGTGTTCCTTCAGCCTCTCCCGGTTTTTCAGAGCTGCATCCCAGCGAGACCGCTCTCTGTTTGGTGTAGTGGTTAAGTGCGCGGACTCTAATCTGGGAGAACCGGGTTTGATTCCCCACTCCTCCACTTGCACCTGGCTGGATGACCTTGGGCAAGCCGTAGTTCTGTCAGAGCTGTCCTTGAAAAAGAGCAGTTTCTGTCAGAGCTCTGAGACACCTTTGGGTAGTGAAGGGCGGGGTATAAATCCAATCTCTTCTCTTCTTCTCTTCTAGGCTGAGAGTGGGTGACTGGCCCGAGGCCACACAGAGAGCTTCCACGGCACCAATGGGGATTCGAACCCAGATCTCCCAGATACTAGCCCACCACTCTTAACCACTGCACCACACTGGCATAATGCAACGAGGCAATGGAAATGGAATACCCACCAGCAGTTGCCCCCAAGTGGATGAGTTTTGCTAATATAATAAAGGATTCTGGACAATTCACCAAAGGGGATCCATAGAACACGTCAAGCCGGCTCCCTTGACACCCCCCCCCCCAAACGACCCCACATAATAGCCCTTTTGCCACAGACTAACCCATCTAAATTGGAATTTGGGCCTCAGGTTTCTTCTTCCACCACATCCCCAGTTGTTTGTTTAATAATACTTAATAACAATTATCGTATGGCATTGTATGTAAAACAGACAGGAGATCCTAAGATTGCCTGGCAGCCAAGAGTTCTAGCTCTTTTAGCGTTATGCACCCCTAGGTGGTGAGCTGGACTTGTTTTTAAGGGAAGAGAAGTTTCAGAGGTGGTTTGCCACTTCCTTCCTCTATGTCACGATCCTGGTATTCCTTGGAGGTCCCCCTTCAAAATACAAGCTCAGGCCGACCCTGCTTAGCTTCCGAGATCTGAGGGGATCAGGCTAGCCTGAGCTGTCCAGGCCAGGGCTACTTGTTTTAAAAAGTTACGCACTGCCCTCTTCCAGGTTGGGGGTAGCGGAAAGTGCCATCAAGTCAAAGCTAACTTATGGCAAGCCTGTAAGGTTGTCAAGGCAAGAGATAAACAGAGATAGTTTGTTATTGCCTGCCTCTGGGTGCGTTCAGACGGGCATTTAAGCCGGTATAGATGCCGGTTGGAATTGGTGTACTTACGGGCGATCACACGGCGAACATCTGCCTTCCGTCCCTAACTGTTGCAAACAGCCTTTAAACCGTTGTATTCTGCTACTAGGTCCCCAAGTGGTGGTATCCTGAGTGTACCGGTTCCAGCCGCATTATCCCCGTCTGATTGCTCTCCACCGGTGTCTAGTCACTTCCGTTCGGAAGCCCAAGGCTTCCGCTTTTCGGCCGCCATTTTTTTTTAGTAGGCGATGTGCGCTTGGGTGAAGCTTCGCCCCGTCATTCATAATAATAATTTTTAAAATGTGCCTAGTGTAAGGCTTTAGACGAGTCTGGGACCTCACGGAGGCCAGTTTCAGAGTAAAAATTTAAAGGGACGTCTTCGCTTCAGGGCACGCTTTTCGGGACGGGGTGTTCTGCGCCTGCACAAAGATCTCAACTCTGTGGATGGCTGCCTATGCGCATGCGCAAAATGTAATTTTTTTTTTAAACCGCCGATGTGTGAACGGGCATATTGTGATGTGCTGCACAGTCAGGAGGTGACTGTGATCGCGTTTCTTCCAGATCAAACTCCTCCAGTTCCAACCGGAGCAGTTTATGCCGGCTGAAACGGCGCGTCTGAACACACCCTCTGTGTAGCAAGTTCATTGGTGGACTCCCATTCAAGCACTATGTACCGGCTTGCAGGCTCCGTATCAGGTGCCAGAAGTCAGGCAAGGCAGGGTCATTTGGTCTAAGGTTGGAGGTCCAGAAGTCAGGCCAGGCAGAGTCAGTGGCTTAGTGTCTATTGTACAAGTTGCATCCATGCCTAACAGTCTCTCTTGGCTGGTTTTATAGCCACACAATTAAGGGTTGTGCTTGCAGCCAGCTGCTCAGAAGCAATCCTCCAATAGCTCATCTGTGTTATCAGCAGGCAGCTGGCATTGGGCCAGGAGTTGTGTACTTTGCCGTCTTGTCTGTAGCTCTGTTCTCAGCCTCTGTCTGTGGCACTCTAAGGGTTTAGGTGATACTGGAGGGCTGGGAATGGCCAACTGAAGTCCTCCTCAGGGCTGGAGGGTGTCGGCTCTGCACCAGCTGTTGTCTGTGAATCCTGACAAGCCTGCAGCTCATTTTCCTGCTGGTCAGCTTCTGTTAACTGAAGGCTGACTACACGGGGCTCCTCTTCTCCTGAGGAGTTCTTTCTATCGCTGAGCCCTGGTTGACTCATGACACACTAACCATGACTGTCCCCACTTAGCGTCCAAGATCTGACCAGATCAGGCCCTCCAGGTCAAGGCAAGAGACGTTCAAAGGTGATTTCCCTCTGCTTGCTTCTGCATAGCAGCCCTGGACTACTTCCTCGGTGGTCTCCCATCCAAGTACTAACCAGGACCTACCCTATTTAGCTTCCGAGATCTGATGAAATCCAGCTGGCCTGGGCTGCCCAGGTCAGGGCTCTTCCAGGTTACATTCAAAAAGTAAATGAAAGGTGTAGAAAAACCTCGGGGACACTTCCAAAAACTGCTCTCGTTGGCCAGTCTGGGTACAGAACTGCCCGAATGACGTTTCTTACCAGTGACTCCGCAGAAAGTTAAGCAACAAGATGACGGCTCCCAAGGCGTAGCAGGCGGTGTACGGGGAACGGAAGATGCGGGTCAGAGCCCGGGTTCTGTGCTCCCATCTTGCTACCTGCTTGAACAAACAGAAACAAAACAAACGGGTTATCAGAAGAGGGTCACCTGCAACGGATCAAATTGTCCGCACAGTCAGCTTCGAAGCTGGAGTACAAGAAATACAACCCTGGTGCGGCGTGGTGCTTACGGCATTGGTCACTAGGAACTGGGAGACTCAGGCTCGAATCTCCACTCTGCCATGGAATCTTGCTGGGTGACCTTGGGCCAGTCACCCCCTTCTCAGCCTCACCTACCTCAGAGGGTTATTATGAGGACGAAATGGAAAAGGAGATAAGAAACCCAGGTTTGAATCCCTATTCTGCCATGGAAGCTTGCTGAGTGACCTCGGGCCAGTCACTCCCTCTCGGCCTCACCTACATCACAGGGCTGTTGTGAGGATAAAATGGAGGAAAGGAGCTTGGAGACCCAGGTTTGAATCCCTGCTCTGCCATGGAAGCTTGCAGGGTGACCTTCGGCTAGTCACCCCCTCTCAGCCTCACCTACCTCACAGGGTTGTTGTGAGGATAAAATGGAAGAGCACAACGGAAACCACATTGGGTCGCCATTGGGGAGAAAAGCAGGTATGAAGTGAATGACTATTCTGAGAGTGCATGGGAAACACATACAGTGGGTCTTGCCAAAAAGTCTACAAAATGATATGTGATCAGGGAAGCCTTCGTTACGGGGCTGTCGGGTTAGCTGCTCCAGGCTCTGGCCTGGGGGCCTCATGTTGGGTCCCCCAACCACCCCTTGGCTGTGCTGGGCCCCCGTCATTTCCACTGCAACTCCCAGCCGTGAGGGACAGTCAGGCAACCAACTGGGAGCCAGAAAGCAGATCCCGGCTCACAAGGGAGGTGGGTCTGAGGAAAGAACCGCCGGGGACAGCGTGGCCTAGTGGTCAGAGTGTCAGATGAGGATCTGGGGCCCCCCAAGTTTGAATCCCCACTCTGGGACGGAAGCTCACTGGGTGACCTCCGGCCAGTCAGATCTCTCTCGGCCAAACCCACACCACAGGGTCGTTGTTGCAAGGATTAAGAGGGGGCGGGGAGAGCAACGTTGTAAACTGCCTTGGGACCCCATGGGGGAGAAAAATAGGGCATAAATATTTAAATTAAAAAAAATAAATATCTCCTTCAGCAGCTGAAGGGACACTTGGACATCTCTAATTGATTCCTGTGGGGCTATTCCCCACTGCGATCCAGGGCTCTTTTTGTAGAAAAAGCCCAGCAGGAACCTATTAGCATAATAGGCCACACCCAACAGCAGGAACTCATTAGCATATTGGGCCACACCCCTGACAGCACAGCTCATTAGCCCATTAGGCCGCACCCCCATGTTACCAGAAGTGTGGTTATCCAGCCACACCCACCTTTTGCTTCTTATTCTGTTTACCTTGTTTGTGGTCAAAACCCAGGGCTTTTTTTTGTAGCAGGAACTCCTTTGCATGTTAGGCCACACACCCCTAATGTAGCCAATCCTAATGAGTTTCTGCTGTTGGGTGTGGCCTATTATGATAATGAGTTCCTGCTGGGTGTGGCCAACTTGGGAGCCAGCCGGAACTCCGTTCCTGTGCGTTCCTGCCCAAAAATAGCCCTGGCGATGCCTCTTATCTGCTCCTCAGCTTGTTGTCCCTTTGCCTCTCTATGACCCCTCCTCCCCCTTTATTTATTATTTTATTTCATTCATCTGCCTCATTCATACCCTATCTTTCTCCCCAGTGGGGACCCAAAGTGGCTTACACCATTCTCCTGCCCTCCATTTTATTCCCACAGCAACCCTGTGAGGTAGGCCAGGCTGAGAGTGTGACTGGCCCGAGGTCACCCAGTGAGCGTCCGTGGTGAATGGGGAGTCCAACACTCTACACTGGTTCTCGCTTGGCTTCCCCTCCCCCCTCGGGACTTTGCCACCTCCTTCTGCCATCTGATCCTGCAAAAGCTGCCGAATTCTGAAATTTCGGGCGGCATCAACGCAACCCCACATTCCCATGTTGGGGCAGCCTAGAATCAGTTTGGCCCAGTTCTAGACCCGGAGGATGCGTTCTTGAGTTCTAAGTCCGCGTGCACAGCAGAGATTTCAACCGGGGAAGACAACCTTTTGGAGGAAGGAGAAGGCCCGGTTCTGGGTATTGATACCAAGCCTGGCTAATCCAGTAGTTTTCCCACTGGGGGGAAAGAACAGGCGCATAGCTACAGTGGGGCTCTTCAGGGGCCGCCCCCCTGAGTTAGTGCCAGGGACCAATGCTCCCTCTAAGCTGTGGAGTCTCGTGAGCAAACATTCTACTTTGTGAGCTACTGGCATTAAAGTTGTGAGCGAGCGATTTGGCTACTGCATGAATTAGTTGGTTCTGGAGCCCCTCCTTCCTGAGCTAAGACAAAAATGTGCGAGCCGGTGGCTAAAAAACTGTGAGCTAGCTCACACTAACTCGGCTTAGCGGGAACACTGCCAGGGACCCTCGACTTTCTGCCAGGAGGTCGCCCGCTCTCCCCTCCCCTGAGTGCCTTCCCTCCCCCGAGGCACTCGGTGGGCAGGGGGCGCACAGAAGGAGCCCGGGAAGCCAAAGCAAGTGCGCCTCTCCTGGGACATCCTGCGGCAGGCAGAGCTCCAGCCCGGACTGGCCACCGCTCCCCTTGGAGAACCCAGAGTGCTCCTGCCACTGAGCGCACTTGCGCCTGGCCCTTGGCGCACTTGCAGAGGGCTGGGGGGGGGGGAGTGAGCACCAAGGTGGGCTCCTCCCCTCCGCTCTCTCTCCCCCACCCACGCCAGGAGGGGAGGCCGCCCTCCCTCCCCTCCCCTGTGTGCCTTCTCTCCCCTGAGGCACTCGATTATTTATTTATTTATAGTCAAATTTATACCCCGCCCTCCCTGCAAAGCAGGCTCAGGGCGGCTTCCAATAACAAATACAATACAGAATAAAAGCATAAGTAATACAGAATTAAAATACATTTAAATGCGTACGTTACAAAATTTCAGAATACTGGCGGCAGTTAAAAAATCAAACGAATTAGATGCTTTCAAATTAAAGTGCTTCGATGTTATTTCCCCGTGAGGTGTTGAGATGTTATTCTGCTCGTTCCTGAGGCATCAGCTCGATGTCAACATTACGGGCCGTGCAACAAGGCGGCGACCTAGGGCGGGGGCGGCCCCTAATTGTATGCCTGGAGGAAGAGCTCCGTCTTGCAGGCCCTGCGGAAATGTGAGAGGTCCCGCAGGGCCCCAATCTCCTCTGGGAGCTCGTTCCACCAGGTAGGGGCCGCCACCGAAAAGGCCCCGGCCCTAGTAGCAGCTAGCCTGGCCTCCCTCGAGCCAGGGAGGGTCAACCGATTTTGAGACCCAGACCGTAGTGCTCTCTGGGGTATATATGGGGAAAAGCGGTCCCATAGGTATGTTGGACCCCGGCCATATAGGGCTTTAAAGGTAAGAACCAGCACTTTGAAGAGGATTCGGTATGCTATTGGCAGCCAGTGCCGTGTCCTCCGCACTGGCCGGATGTGCTCCCATCTAGGGCAGCTTCCGACAAGCCCTCTGCCACAAGCCCTCTGCGGGGAGAGGAGTCCAGGAGCAGAACATGGAGCAAGAGACCTCCAAGTGGAGGCAGGCATCCGGCTCGGAGCGGTGCTCCGGAGGTGCCTCTTGAACTCCTCCTGCAGGAAGCATCATCCTCCCGACCTCCAGGTAGTTTGCTCCCCGGAGGCCCCAGCCCGGGATCTCCCTCCCCCTTGCCAGGAGCAGAAGCACCCAAGAACTCCTGCTGTGCTTGCCTCCATCTTTCTTCCCCAGCTGGGAAACTTTTGCCTTCCATCCCTCCGAGCTGCAGGCACTACCTTGGTTGGCTTGACTCCCTCTCCCTCACCCATGTCAGGAGGAAAGGAGACCACCTGCTCTCCCCTCACCTGTGCCCGGGGCTTCCCTCCCGGGTCCGCCCCATTAATTAAATTAACTTTGATTCAATTAGCCAGTACCTCCCCCCCCCCGAAATTTAAATGCCCCCCGATGGGCCTGGGGAAGAATATTCCCAATACTGCAACCCCAATCTAGAGTAAAACTGTCTTTTAAAGTTAAACTATGTGGCTGGAATTCCAGACACATGACATAGGAGTTTGGCCCCGAGGTTCTGGGTTCGAGACTTCGGATCCTCAATATTCCCCTCTCTCCAGTTGCCTTAGTACGCATTCACATCATTCTCGCAACCTCCTTTTGGCACTGAATAACTGGGGTTCAGGGATTACTTGCTGTCTCGGGGGCGTAAGTCCAAAACTAAATCGGTCTCTGTTCTGACCTGCGGCCCGCACCGCAAGACAGACAGTCCAATTATTTATGGAACAAACGTTTCCTCATTAGCCCAACCCTTCACGTCCAATTGCAGATGTACATTCCCCTTCTTGCCAGTTTGTGGCTTCCAATTCAATTCTAGAAATGGAAGCGTGCGTCACAGGGGTGCTATAACCGAAGCTCCAGGCACGGTGGGTGAACACACAAGGACGGGGCGAGCGGCCTCGTCTGTGTAAGTCACCGCTGAATCGGATCCACGACAGGCCGCTGAGTCAACAGGAGAACGGAGCCAGACGGGAGACGCTCAGGCAAATGAGCCGGCAGCCCCCAACCTTGGCGGGAAATCATTCTGCCTGTCACACGTCAGCCGCAAGACGGATGTGTCATGTCACTTTCGTTTAGGTAAGCCATCTTGCTTCTCCCACTATTCTGAAACTCTTCCCCAATCCCTTAAATTACAAGCAGGGAGGGGCCGAATGATGATAAAGCAAGGGCATCATTCTTTGTCTTTTCGAAAATTTACACCTTTGGATATCGGCCCAGAAATGAAGGTTAGCAGCAGCTGATAGAGTATAAGGAGATGCTGTCTAACGGCTGACACCATGAATTCAGGAAGCTTGAATCACCCCTTGGCATCAGACATATTCAGAGCTAGGTTTGATTCCAGCAGCACCACAAAGACCAAGAAGATTTTCGGGGCACGACCTTTCGACTCTCAAAAGTCCACACTCCAAAAACCTTGTTGGTCTC